AGCAAAATCATATCTGTAGCTTATTTAGTTTCAATTTTATGCACATTTTAGACAAATTTGGCGGCCATTTTGAAAAACGGCCGCCATTTGTATACAAGGAGTAAAATCAAGTGTCAACAGGGCTTAGGTTGACCAGAAGGAAATAATTAGAATATCTAGCTATGTGGATTGCTTCTAACATTCCACTCCCCCTAACTAATTTTTTTCAGATTTTTTTTCTAGTCTAAGAGGGCAGAACTGCAATTCTATGCACTTCGATCGCCGCAAGAGGTCAGTATATATCCGTAAGTAAATTCCGAACTTTGGCGTAAGTTGTTTTGGTTGATCGCGACATGGAGTACGATGTGGCATTGTCATAGAAAATAACTTTCCCTTTTCCATTGTCAACTTGTTTTGACTGAATTCTCATGGCATTGATTTATATAGAAGTCCGTACATTAATTATATTCACTATATTTCTCCAAGGTAAGTTCTATTATTACATATTTTTGTGAGACATGCCAGCCCTGTCTATTATGCGACGGCAATGTGATTAATCATTGATACAGTACAATAGGGACTACCTCTTACGTACACGCCTACGCCTACCTATCTGTTAGTTACCGAGTCTGGGACCTTATGTAAGTTTACGAATATCGCTCACTCCCAACAAAAGCCGACTCCAGCCTAGGCCTAGAATTATAAACTACCATGGAGAATATGAAACTACTACTGTTATTGTATACAATGATTGATGTAGTAGGTAGTCGCTGAATGAGTACAACGTATTGTTTTGTTCATATACAAACACGAGTATACATACTGTATACTGTACAGTATTGATTAATAATAAATGCCATGATTTACCACCAGCAGTTATCAATTTGGATTTATTTCTTTCTTTCTTTTATTTGACACTGATCAGTATATACTATATAAAATACAGCAGAAAAATGTAAGGAGCAAACACGGGAACTATGAAAATAGATAAAAATTAGATATAAATATGCAACTTAAAGTCATTTAAAATAAAACCAATTATTTCCAATATGGTCCATGGTAAATTAATAAAGGCCAAAAATAAAACAAAAAAGGGATAATAAGGAATCTAATAGACATTTTAAAATTACATATTAAATAAGTTTAGTAAACAATAAATTGAGTGATAATAATAGTATTAAGAACAGATTACAGTATTATTTTGCATCTTTTGTATCTTTTTATGTTTAAGGGATTACATACGCCTTAAAAAAGTACCTATAGGGATGTTTAAGCATATAGAAAAAAGCCTATCTATTGTTAATTAACTGTTGTTGAGAAAATGACATTTGTGCATTCTAATTTTCATAAAAACTAAAAACAAAGTAAGCTATGAATCCAAATATTTGATTTTATCCCCACATTTTTTTTCAGATATCAACACAGAAATAAATGTATGTTTTTGAATATTTTTTATTAGATTCTATTTTATTTTTTTATTTAATTTATAAACTTCTCACAAGACAGTGATGGATATGAGCCAACTGGTGACTAACACCTCTACAATGGCTCGTTCCATTGTATTATAATATAAGGCATAAAAATGTACAAACACCAGTGCAATAAAATTTTTAAAAAGAGGTGAAAAACATCAAGAAGAACAATAAATATTTTATTATGTAGGCAGTCCTCACGATTATATTCTGTTTGTTTTCAAATAGGGTAAGCATAAAGATGATATTAAACCTCTTTTTTTTTTTTATAGGTCTACTTTTAACAGGTTCTCAGATTAGTACCTACAAATTCATAAGTTTAGAAGATAATTCTCTTGCAATTAATTGTACATCATTTGATGACAGCTCCTGCTCATTGTGTCAGCCAGGTTATTTCTCAAATCAAGGTGAGTTTAAGTATTTCAATAGAGTACCACAGTCGTGTCGTCACTACGCCAGGTGGTGCCCTCTGTTGTCAACAGACGTTCATTACACCTAAATGACTTCATAGGCTTTCTGGAATAGGCATTTTAAAATCTAATATTTTACCATCAAAATGTACTAAAAACACAAAAGCTCGCATTATATTAGTTATTGAACATACATTTAATCATCAATTCAAATTTACAAAGAAAAAGGAAGATAACAACGTCTTAATAATTACGTTAAAAATTGGGATCAGTGGTTTGTCAGTGGGCAAAATGGCATCCGTTGAATGCATTTTGCAACGATAGCAACAGAGTAGTATCACATGGTATCGTGATGTAACACTATAGTACTCTATATTAGCAACTGTAAATGTTTTAGATTTTAACTTTGGTATTTATTGCATTTAAACCCAAAACCCTGGAATAGGAAGCCAAGTATCTTAACCAGTTGCAGACCCAGGAATCCAAAATAGTGGCAGCCCCAGAGAATGAATTTCCCAGGTGGCGGGTCCAGCAAGTCCGTGGCACCTGGTGGACAAAAAGGCACTCTCAGATAATTGAAGTGTAATTTTCTTTTTTTCCTCTTTTTTTTTCAATATTTAGGGGGAACTGGACTTAAAAATTGAAATGTAATTTTCTATATTCCTCATTTTTTTAATTTCAAAATTTAGGATGAGCTCGCCAGCTGGGTCCCCTTAAATCTGCCTATGTTAACCACCACAAGTGACAGCACCTCACTCCGTCATTAAATCAGTTTTATTCAATATTGAAAGTTTAGTGCATGTCAATGCTTGACTACACTTCTACATCACAGATTGGTTTCCCTTCCCTTATTGTTTGAAACAATCAACCTTCCCTTATTGTATGAAACAATCAATAGAATTGCGTAACTATATATTGCAGTTTCATTGTATGTGACACTGTCATTTCAGGATCTAAAAAGGAAAGAACAAAAACTAATCCCCAACCACTTCCTTTTTGTACCACATAATTGTAATTTCTTTTTAATATAATATAATTTGTTTAAATAATTTTTCCTATTTTCTACTCTGAAACACTCAAACAGTATCGGGGCTGTTGAGAGTGGCCCTGGGCCCAATGAAGGGGTCGAAGAGCCAGAGAAGTACCCAGTTGGGTCTAGGGGCTGAGCTGTTTTGTCGAGAAGCTATGGATTTTTAAAAATGTATTTAGATGCCTATAAATTTAAATGGTTACATTTACAGGCATACATTTTTGGTGTCAACACCAAGGATAACCTACGAAAGTCTGAAGAAGACTTATTTCCAGTGGGGTCCTTCTGGTGGTGATTGGGCAATACACCGGGAGAAAATCCCCTACTATTTTCTGAAGAGTATACTGCATTCTTTAACTTGAATACAGAGCACTGCGGGTCAAATACAATGCATCATAAAAATAACATTCATTAGGCTTATTGTGTATACTTAGGAAGTCGTTATTTAAATCAACATAGTGATCAACAATTTCTTAAGTTGTCATTTTGAAATGGCATTTATATTTGTTATTTTGATGTGACTTTTTATTAACGCAAACTATTGGAAGTGACTCATGTATTCTTTTGTTATCATATCAACCCATGACCTCCAACCTCAAGGCAGATTAACCTGAATCTATGCACCTTTATTATCAGATTGTTATTTACAGTAGTGCAGTGTACCTAGATGTGTGTTTTTATCAAATGGTACAGCCAGCTCAGTGATATTTATGTAACTTGACTTGAATTACTTTATTTGGCATCAAAAAACAACATGAAAATACAATTCAAAAGAAAAAAAGTTAAAAGCACCATTACAATACAAACATTAAAATGGTCAAAACACGAGCAAACAGGCCGGGTCATCAGGTCTTTATCATTTATTATGATACCTGGTTTTTCTTTCTAGTTAGGGTATAATCTTGGGTAATCTGCGTACATATTTTTCTTAAGGTTATGCATCTCTTCATAAGACGTCTGGAATGAAAATGCAGATATTTTCAAAAAAGAATACCAAAAGAAAAAGCACATTGAAAACAGATTTTTATATATAGAAATTATATTAATCATCATTTTAATGTTTTTTTTTAAATTCCCTACTTTTTTTTTTTTTTTAAAGAAATCAAAGACTGCCACTGCTGTAGCAGTAATAGCAGTAGTAGTAGTGACCAGAATGGAAAATGCATTAAAAACAAATGTAAAGCCTGTGAGAAAGGCACCCACCAACCCGAACCTGGTAAAATCACATGCTTAGACTGTGTCCCGGGAACAGCCACTGAGTAAGTATACTTATTCAATTTACATCCAACAGCAATGTATAAAGCCCTGTCCCAACTATTAAATTTATTTGAAAAAAACATGTGATATACCTAAATATGGTCATTCATGATGACATCACATCATGACCATATATAGGCACATCATGACTATAAATAATGGCTTTAGAACAGTTTCTTATTTGAAAGTCTGAGAGGGCTTTACAAAATGGAAAGTTGTCATTTGTTTCGATTGTCCGAAATATCCTGGTGTTTTACAGAATTTTAACTTGTGATCCTGAAATTCAAAAGTGTGTACATACCTTTTGTTTTACTACCAAAAGAATTTTTTATTTTATTTTAAAGACAATAAAAAATAATTTATTAACATTACATTTAGTTAATGAGGTCAAACTGAAATACATTTTTATACAGAATTTTTGTACATTTGAACTTTGCAGTGTTTCTGGGAGTGTCAACTGCAGTGACTGCCTGCCTGGACATTATGCCAATAAGACAGGCCAAGAGAAATGCCTAGCTTGCGATCCAGGAACATTTAGCAATACAACCACTGCTTCTTCATGCACAAATTGCCCGAAGGGCCATGAACAGCCAGCCAGTGGTGAGACTGCATGTAAACCATGTGACGTGGGACATCATGCTAGTTTGGAAAAGAGTAAGCACTGCGAGAAATGTGAAGCGGGATCATTCACTAACACTACTGGTACTGTAAAGTGTACGCCGTGTGACCTTGGATTCAACCAAAGTAGTCCCGGCAAGACCAGCTGTGAACCATGTGGCCTCGGACACTATAGCATGTGAATGAAAATTTGATCATTTTCAATCAATAATTTATAATGATTATTATTTTATGTATTAAATAAATATGATATTAATATTACAGATTTCTTTATTTCTTTATGTATATATTAGTAGTATACTTCATAAACATTTGAACTTAATTTGACCATAAAAAATGTTATTTTAGAATGATTGTTTCTGTAAATTTTCTGGCATCTTTGTTTTAACTACTGCCTCAGAAAGTGGATATATCAGTTGTTTAGAAAAGGAAACTAATAATACTAAAAAAATTCAGCCAATTGCTAAAGTTATTTGGTACTGTATGCCATTTTGACAGGATTTTTAGTTGGTCTATGCTCTGTCCAGATTATCAAATTTTCTTTCACAAAAAACTCTTGTATGCCCATATATAGTCATGATGTGATGTCATCATGACCATATTTAGGCATGTCACATGTTTTTGTCAAATAAAATTTGGTAGCCTGGAAATGGCTTAAAACTTTCTAAATTTACCCACAGCATTAAGGGGGGAAAGACATGTGAGCAGTGCTATCCAGGATTTTATGCAAATACTACAGCTAGCAAAACATGCATGCCTTGTTTTTATGGTAAGCTTTAACTTTATAATACTTAGTACAGCATTAGTGCTGCAAACATTATATGAAGCAGCAACAAAATCGTTAGCTTTATCATTATCAGCAACATCATCATTCAGTATCCTGATCATTAGCATTATTATTTTTGTCTGCACGTTATTGATAATTTTCTGTTTGTATCATTTTTGTTTACAGACTTATCAATCAACCAAATTTCATATACCATGTTGTATGAAAGTATAATACATACTCCAAGTATTGATTCCTGATGATGACATAATTAATGTCGAAATATTGAATCCCAACACGATGGCGTGTATTTCAATACTTGGAGTATGTATTATACTTTCTTATCTGAGATTAATCAGTGGACCTTTCGGTTTTATGTTGTATGAATTTATAATATATTATAATCATCATCATCATTTCAACATCATTGTCAGTAGCATATAAAGAGCAATGTTCTAATAACATACTTTTTGTAGAATAGTTACAATTTATGTTTCATAACCATAACCCCGGACCTTCTGACAGGACAGCTAGCAGAGGGTGCTATTCAAACCTGAATAGCGTCGCCAACAAACATGTAGCTCCCAGCTTCATTGCCTGACGAAGATCCACTGATAGTGGAATGAAACGTAGCAGTACGTATACTTCCAATTAAAAGAATACTACAGCCATAAATCCTTTTTTTTTAAATTTCTACAGGCAGTTTTAGTAATGAATCTGCTACAATAAACTGTACGCTATGCAGTGTTGGGTCCCATCAGGATGAGTTGGGGATGTCAGCATGTCATGAGTGCCAAGTTGGATCATTTTGTAACAGGACAGGCTGTAAGAGGTAAAGCTCACTGTTTACAAGTCTGTGTAGCGTGTTGAATAAATTAGGCCTGGAAAATGAAATGCGAAGTCCCATGCTCTGGAAAATTGTCAGTGGCTAGCATTTTGTACTGTTACACGTTTCCCTCCAATTACAGACCTCTCAAATTAAAGAACATTTTTCTGTTGTCCCAAATGAACAACTGCCTTTCATCTTTATTATTGTAATTAGAGACCAAAACAGACCATAGAAACCCCCGGTCCCAAACGTGGTCTCCAATGGGATTGAGATGTGTATTTTAAGCCATTCATTATACTTTATTTGTTAAATAAAATAAATATTACATTGTTCCATGGTAATTAATTCCTGATATGTCATCTTCAAAATGTACTATAATTATGGAGGTATAAAAATTGTGCCAAAATTTTCTCCATAGTTGCTTGCCTTGTGCTGCTGGGTCTGAATCAAAGAACCTTGGAGCCACAAACTGCACACAGTGCATAGAAGGTCACTACAAGTCATCCACCAGTACCAAGCTGTGTTCTGTGTGTCAACCAGGGTGGTACCAGCAGAAGACTGGCCAGAAATCCTGCATTAAATGCCCATCTGGCTCTTACTGTCCTGTAAGTTTGACTTGAGGCTTCTGTCAGGGTTAGTGGGCCAGGCCCAGACCAGTGAGATGAGCACCAAGCCCACTGATTATTTCTGAGTTCCGTTGCGGGAATAGTATAACAAAGCACACCATTTTTTTTGTGGAAGATATGTTTAACCATTGGACCTGTGTGCAAATGGCCCACGTGCACGTTAAAGCAAGGCAATTCAATAGAAGAATGCACATCTCCGCTCTTAAACATAGCGCGTACGTACAATCCTTTGATCTTTACTGTGGCATCGACAATCTGATGCTAGTTACATGTACAGCCGTCAATTATCTGTCTATGTGTGCCGTTTTATGGTGTTAGTTACTATTTTATTAATTCTGGGTACTTCGCAATGTCTGTTACATCTGATTTCTTTTGACCACGAGCTTGTTAAGTGCTTCTATAAACTACAATTTGATTCGTGAAAATTGATCAACAAAATGAAAAGTTATAGCAGATGAAAATTTACGATTTTTATATAAATTCATGTTCTTATATAACATTAAACTGTCAAATGTTGGAGTAAGGTGCACAAAACGAACATTTGAGTTGATACAGAAAGTTTATTTATTTTTTCTGTGAAGTGAGTCTCACGAACCACCGGACACCATCTCATCGGTAAAATGGCAACTGACAATTATAGTTGGTTGCTATGGTTTTTGTGACGATCAGCGTGTAGGGGCACGTGGCGCGTAGAATGTCAATGCCAGAGTGATATCCTTTGATATCCTGAGATGTGCGTTCTTTTGTTGAATTTCCTTGGTTAAAGAATGCAGTTACAGTATTATACACTTTTCGGAACAATGTAAGGGATTGTCTGGTGGTGTACATGCCAAATCACCACCAGAGTGACCCAACTGGAAATAAGTCTTTGTGACATTTGTACGTTCGTGTTCACATCAAATAAATCCCCTCCGACTATTTATTGTACTACACTTGCTTTTCAGTGTCCAACATGTCCACCGGTGAAGTGTCCAAGTAATGCTAATTGCCCAGCAGGAAGTGTACAGCCATCATACTGTAAATCAACTTGGTACATAAACCAAAGTGGGGTAAGTCTGATTTCTGTGGGAAGACATTACAGTTTATGGCATGCTGGGTTTACCCCACAATTTCTTACGTGTTGGACTATCTCATGGACCATGTCTATTACCCACATTTTTTGCCATCTAAACCATCTCATGGGCAATGTCTAGACCAGTATTTTTTCCTATGTACTGGACCATGTCTATTACCACATTTCTTGCCATCTAAACCATCTCAGTACTGCAGTTGTAAGTAATATATTCATTCATTTCTGAAAATGTTAATCTAGTGATACCTTCATCCGTTTCTGTTTTTTCCTTAGGGATGCGTTCCCACCGCCCAATTCTACATTGTTGTTTCTGTATGCTCCATCGTTGTGGCACTAATTATAGCCGTACTCATCACAAAGTACTACCGAAGGCGAAGGCGTTGGCGTTCCAGACTACATGAGCCTTTGATAAAACCTGGCCAAAACCCTGTGTATGCTGGTTTATGATTGGCCTTATTATAATTTTTATTCAATCAATAACAGACACTTTAATTGTCTTCCTACCTCAATTATAGGGATAAATACAGTGGCAGATCCAGAAATTTGAAATAGAGGGGGCCTAGTGAGGGACTTTCACAGATAGAGGTACACCCACCTCAGTCCTATCATGGGTGGGGCTGATCATGTAAGGAAATCTATTATTTTGGCACCTCTAGATGGTCGGAAATGGCACTTTCAGACTTAATGTTGATTATAATTATATATTTTTCGCCATTTTTTTTATAATTTTGAAAAATTTAAGGGGACCCGGGCTGGCTCAATCCCCCCACCCATTCTTGGATCCATCACTGAAATATGTTTTTAGAGATTTATTGTGAAGAGATTTATATAATTTTAATTCTTTAATTCTTAATATTGTTATTATTTTAAGAAAATATTTTTTAGGAAATACCTAAATACTACGGTTTCTGGGATTAATTTCAGTTTTGTAATTATCATTATTAATGTTAATAAAATTGTTTTGATTAGATTAATGATGGTAGATGAAAGGTGTATTAATAAAATTAATGTCATCTAAGAGTGTTCTAGATGAAAACAGATCAATAATATATGTGACAATCAGTAATTATATACTGTAATTAATAATTTGTGCCAAACAGTTATAAATTAGTAATTAGTAAGCAGTTATCAATGCAATTTTTATAATATATGAATTGAATATATTTGAATATAATTGTTATTTTCTTTATTACATATATGATGTGTATAGGATCTAAACTTTACTGGTTGCTACAGTACACTAAATTACAGGTACTGTACATACAAAGACTAAACTATATTTTCAATTGTCATTTATAGACGATAATATAAAATGTACAATTTAGAATTACTATATAGATTTAGATTTTTAAACAACTGCCATTCTCATTAAATAAATGATCCTTGATTTACCAAGATGTGTTTCAGAATTTATTATAAAAATGTGTTTACTGTCATTGATGAAAGAGTAGAGCACCATAATTTCCGATCATGCGCTATTTACTTACCATATAGAAAATATTAAAAGCAGTTAGTGTCGCTGTATAACATCCTTGAAGCGGAGTTTGGTAACCTACTGTAGAAAATATTAATTGCTAATCGGTTATCTTGATGACAAATATGGCCAGACCAACGTAAATGATATCTTCTGTACAGTAAACATTGTCAACCGTAATACAGTAGTGTTTGGAAGACGGTCATGTCAAGATAATCTAAGGATGGAATTTAGTCTCTTCTTGACGTCAGATGTGTTTGGCTTTTGAAACAACACAATAAAACACTTATCACACAAGCGATATAAATGCTAGTTTTCAATTTATGTTGGGGTTTTGGTTACTCCATACGCAAGAGAACAATAGACTATTTGTTGCCTTGCCAATACAGGTACTGTATTGTGTTTGGCAGACAATAAGTTAGTGCTGTTGACTGTTGGAACAAGATATGAGAACATCTAGTGGAGTGGAATAGCTTGCCATCCAATCCCAGAGTCCTGGTTTCAATTCCTGCCAGTGTTGCAGGATATTATTCTTGCGAGCAAAACAAATCTGCTCCCTTGTATATTTAGTTTGTGTATGTTTGTCTTGTGAAAGGGATTGTCACCCACAAATAGGACAGTGATATATTCTCTATTGAAAATCCTTGGTGCACCTGTTGTGTGTCTTTAAAAAAAAAAGGGTTTTCCATCAATCAATATTTGTGGTGTTTCACATTGGACTGAAATGTTATAAAAGTGCAAAATAAATAAGGGATGTAAAGACAACTTCAAATATTCACATTTTATTTCTGATATTGTAATATTTCACTATAGTATATACAATAATGTATAATTACAATTTCTGGCAATATTCAATCCAATCTTTATACCGATTTCTTTCCCTACAATACCTCAGTGATTTGAAACTTTGAAAATAACTTCATGAAATTGATTTGCCATCACTCTCAACATTCAGCACCTTGAATAGCATACTCCTATAGATTTATAAATATCAAAAATCAATCAAACTACTTATATCATTGACAATAATTATTACATCAGATATCTGCCATAATGAAATAATATAAATACTTTAATAGAAATCTCATCCCTATTTGGAGGTATAATGGATTTCAAATGCATAGATAATTTTTTTATAACGTGCATTGAATCCTACAAACTGAAACAAGCTACTGGATAACCAGTAGCGAAAATAAGGTGGTACCAGGTGATTTTTAACTACAGTATTTAGCATAATTTTTTTGCTTCAAAATTTCAAAGTGGGTAAACCACGTTTTTTTTTTTCGAGGGAGTGCACACACTATGCATAACACGTCACTAAAACAAAACAAATCGGAACAGAGTTCAGTAGCATCAACAGATTAGTGTTGTAATTTCGACAAATTATATTATTTTCAATTACCACCAGTGCAGATGTACATACCAAACTTAAAATCATGTGATTCACTACAAAACAAATACAGTCAATTGTATGGATGCAATTAAATAAAACATCTATTTTATATCTTTACATTTCAAATGTGTAAAGAAAGCCTAGTTCAGAAATCATAAGGATTTAAATTAGTTACATGTACATACTTTTGAAAAAAAAAATTCCTTGGCAGACAGCAATTGTTACAAAAGCTTTTATTGCCTCTATTCACTATATTTTATTGTATATTGTGCTGAAAAGAATACAATCACATAAGTTTAAAGACAGACTCAACTACTTGTCTTCTCAGATTCCTCCAATCGCTCTTCTTTTGACAGCATATTGATGATTTCATCAATTTGTTTTGGTGACAAATCAACATCTGCTTGTGTGATGAATTCAATGACCTGTAGTAATAAGACAAGAAAACTAATGAAAATCAGTGAAGATAATAACATTAAGACCCAGAAGTTTAAAAGTAGAAGGGGCCCCAGACAGGTACTTCTACATATGAGGTTCATTACCACATTTCACCATGGTTTGGGGAATGATGTCCAAAATGTTATGGCTGTGGCTAGAATTGGCACTCTCAAAATTTTAATGTAATTTTCTATTCCTCTCCCCTATAAACTGCCCTGGATACTCTCAATATCAATGTAGATATTTTGTTTGTTTATGTAACTATAGTATGAACTTGTGTATCCTTGATATTTACTTTCACATTGCTACTTATCAGTGAAGTATCTTCAAAGGCCACAGAGAACAAAAGTGAAATAGAGACTGACTGAGAATGAGTTTTTTTTTCAAAATATAAAATACATTAAAGGAGGTTTATTTGGAAAAACGTCAGTCAGGAATCATTCGATAAATTACTTACCTTTTGAACATCTTGGATGTCAAGGATACCATCAGAATCTTTGTCCAATAATTCAGCGAGCTGGCGAAACTTCACTTCATCTGACAAGTTGCTGAACTTGCGCATGGCCTCCTCAAATTCCTCAATACGCAGAAGTTGTTTCCTTTAAAAAAAAAAAAAAGCAATATTACTTGGTGAAAGTGAAGACATTATAGCGTATATGCCACAGTTAAAACAACTGACTTCCATAGGTGATATGATTATCATGTGATATGTGATGAAATGATCCTCAAGCGATCATGATCTGATCAAAAAAGAAAATATTAGATGGGGGAGCTTTAAGTAATTCATCGAATAATGTAGAATAGATACACGTGATATGTGGTGATCTGATCACAAAGGAAATATTAGATGGGGAGCTTCAAATAATTAATAGAATGATGTAGAATAGATATACAATGGTTATCACATGATCTTTACATAATCATATGATATGCAATTTAATGATCTGTTCACCAGTAAAAAATCAGATGGGGAGCTCTAAGTAATACATCGAATGAACTTACTTATCTCTAATCAATTTTTCAGTATCTGAATCCTCTTCCCCAAGCTGATCCTGTTTTGCGATGTCCTCCATGAGTTCGTCCTTACCCTTCCCCACCTCTTCCACAATCTTGTCAATACGGTTCACCATTCGTTCAATTCGCTTGCCCAGTCTGATGCTTGCCTTTGACTCAACGATGACAGTTGATGGTGCCTCGGCAGCCATTTCGGTTTTCAATTCCTCAACATCCTGCAGTGAAAAATGGCAGAAGATGAGTTTATGTTATTATATTTTTCGATATTGAATAAATAGTAAGTAAATATAACACATCCACTTGTTAGGCATGCACCCACAAGCCATCCCCCACCCCGGAAGAATGACATTTGTACCTCCTTGTACTCTGCAATATCCTCCCTTAGTTCTTCCAGATCTTCCTTCTCATGGCTCAGCTTTTCCTTCTCTTCAGCAATCAGATTGATCACTTCATTCAACTCCTTGAACTCCTCTTTTGTTACTTCCTCCTGAAAGCAATTTAAATGAGTTTTTATCAAACAAATAAAAGATGTGATAAAGCAAAACTATTTTACAAACTAATTAAATTCTAACAGGTCCATAACAATGTAAATTTGGAAAGTCGAAATTGTTCATGTTTCAATGATTTAAGTGATTTATCCTAATGTGTGACACGCTAAGCAAATTTCAAACCACTTTTATGAGTTTGACCAATAAAACTGAATTGAATTGAATTGAATTTGATGATAAATGATATAATTCTTACTGCTGATAATAAGTGTTTAATTTAATATGCTATGATTTCCAGTCAACTGCTTTGGTATTAGTCTTCCAATTCAATTAAAGCAACAATAAATGAATTGTTCTTACTATTTCTTCTTCAATTGACATTTCTTTTCCAGTCATCTCAAGTACAGGTGCTTTATCAGCCAACTCTTCAGCCTCTAACCTGGCCTGTAATTGATATAAATACATTGTCCAAGTATATTTTAAGTGATAAAAGTCGACAATGGTGTCACTAAATCTATTAGCACCCATCTTCAACAAGAAGCTGTTTTAAATATTGTTTTCATAGCTACAGTTCCAGTAATAATATGTTAATAGTAATAACAATAATTGAATAAATTTTATTCCTAATCCTTTGAATATAGTTTTACATCAGTGGCAATTATTACAGAGATTCATTCACATCAGGTCATAACATTACATACAAGGAAAAATACCAATCATTAGTAGATATTAAATAAAAAGAAAATGAAACAACAGAAAATTACATATTAAATGTACTTAATGTAATAAAAATATAAAAATAAAAATGAAGCTCACCTTCTTCTTTTCAATTTCTTCCTTGTCCTCTAGCTCTTCCTTTTTCTTGTCTTCTTTCTCCTTCAATATTTCTGCCTCCTCTTTCTTGATGATATTCAACCTTGTTGTGTTGTCGATCTTCTCGCCTTCTACTTCAGCTAACTTCACCTTTGCCTCTTCAGTCTACAAAATGACACATAATACAATTTAACTTGAAAATAATCTGTAGTAAAATCTAAAAACAAATTAAAATATTGAATTCCATTGGAAATGATGAAAAAAGATTAAAATATTGAAGTTTTTGCTGATTTACCGATGATTTTTTAAGTAGCCAGTATAAGAATCTTATCAGGCAATAATTGGAATGGTATTATTCTATATTTTAATTGATTGGTGGATAAGGTGGCCTGTTTGCTTACCGCAGAGTCTGTGAGAGAAGCGATGGTCTTCTGCAACTGCTGAGCTGTCGGCAGTTCTTCCGGTAGGTACAGAGCTCTGGACAACAGCAGCAGTGAGGTTGGGATCTGCTCATTAAGGTGAAGATCCAACCACTGTAAATAATGATGAAAATAAGCTCAATCATTTGTAATACCAGTATCCACGTTTTTCTAAATAATATACATTTTATTTATTTATGCTGTATTTAATAAGGAATTAATAAGGAACCAGTAATGAAGAGCTGATATTAAAGGGACCTCAAAAAACAAATATAAAATACTGGTACAATATATTAATGCAAACAAATATACGAAGTGATAAAATACATACCTGTTGTAATTGTGACTTTAATCTTTCAGCAGGAAGTCCAAGCGCCCTCATACCTCTCGACTGACATGCACTCTGCATCTCCGCGATAGTCAAACCGTCGATTCCTTCTTTTTGGATCATCTACAGAGACATTACAAAAAAATTATTAATATTATTAGTTTCATAACTTTCGAGTCATCAGGCTCTAAATGTTAATTGTAGTTTTGTTGTTTCGATTTTGTTGTACATTTTTTTTTATATAATAAAAGATATTGAGAAGGGCTATACCAAGTCTCGCTCCATTAAACTGAACTTAACTGGGTACATACATAGCTTAAGGTATTTCTAACAGAATATCGATCAAGCTTAGCTGCACTATATTGCAACCAAAATAGAAGTTTGAAGCCTGCAATATTTTTGCTTTATTTCACTCTATTTAATTCCCCTGCAGCAAATATTTGGTTTTAGAATAGCTGCATTACATAAACTGTATTCGCTCTACCTTATCATCTGCCATCAACGTCCTGAGCTTTAGCCGAAGTTGGAATCGTAAGAAGTTGTTGGTCCCGTATGGCTGTAGCATCAGCAACTTGCACAAGGCAACAAGCTGATTTCGAGGTAGATTATCCAGGGTCAATTCATCTTCAAACAGTTTAGAGTATTTCAGAATCTCTTCATTTGTAGCTTGTTCTCCACTAGCACGGATCTGGTATACATGGAAAAAAATCAATTCAGACTGAACGAAGAAGCAAAAGTCAAGGACATATTCACCACCCCCTGGATCCATCACTTAAGTGTGTTAAAGTATGTTGTTTGGTTTGCCATACATACCTTCTCTATGAATGATCCAAAGTTTTGAGCGCTCTGACTTTCTGTTGCAACTTTCTTGTGGACGGCAGTCTCCTCAATTGTATCCTGAAGAAACTTTGCCATCTCCAACTTCACCTTCAACTCTTTCTTCAGTTTTTCTTCCTTAAAGTTTATAAAATTAGAAAAAAAAAAGTGATGAATTAGACATTTATTGAGTGGACCACCCAGCCAAGCTCATCATTTGTAACCCTTGATAACCAGTTCTCTTTATGAGCCTTGGGGAGTAGACAGCTGATAATTAGGAAACTTGATGCTCTGTATAAGGCTTGGGAAACTGAGTGAATTTGTGGTTCATAGGATGTGAACTCAGAAACCAGGGATTAGAAAGCAAGCATCTTAATATCATGCAACCTAAGTATTAATAAATTTACTTAAGTATTAATAAATTAAAAATTTGTATATATTTTGCTTATTACAGTATATACTTTTCATACATATACTTTTTAAAATATAAATTATGATTCTGTTAATATTAAATCTCACTCTTACACAATATACTGTATTTCTTTTACAATCTATATATATATTATTAATTTTATATTCTATTTCTAACAATTTATTTCTATTACCTTTTTAGACTTGTCTTGAAAAGTACTGGGAAGCATGCTTGGGAAAAGTTTAAGAGCAACTGGAAGTAAGAATTCCATGAATGGGATGATGATGAACACCAGGAAAGGAACTAGCCGGAACATGTCAGATACTGTCCTGGTAAACTGCGCAAATGAAGAGAGAAAATAATTAAATATCTTAAGTAAAGAAACGTAATGTCAAAACATCAAAATTAATAGAATTATCTTTGACAATTGTTGTTGTTCTTAAAGAAACTGTTATTAATATTTAATGTTTATTATTATTAACTTTATCACAAAAAAAAAGAAAAGTAGGCTAACCTGTTTATATTCCCTTCTTGAAAGTGAGTTCCCATTCAGAATCTGTCGAAGCATTCTGAATGCGATTGCTATGTCAATTCCTAACAGACGGAAGCCATGATAATAATGAACCACTTCATCTTTCACTCGAACCCAGAGAGACTTCTGCACTGGTTTTTTAATTTCAACAACTTGAGGTGGTTCATGCTGTTTAGTGATTTGCTCTTTCTTTTTCTCCCTCAGAGCTTTGACTGCTTGCTCAACCTTGGACTCAGGTTCTGCCAAGTCTTTAAAACTCACACTAGATATATGAAATTGCCTTACATGTAAAACAGGAATAAAATCTAACAACTGAGACTGCGAGATAAAATTTCTTGAGGTTAGTACAGAAGCTCTTCGTAAACTATTGCACTGATTAATATATCCTTCATTTGAAAACCTTTCCTTATATACTTCATTACAATTCTTCCTACATCTGAAAGATAAACAAATATAAAAAAAACTTAATTGATATTGGTGGGTAGTCTTTACTATCTTACTTGGGCTGTCTTTAAATGGTGGAAAATTTCATCATACAATAATAATAATAATAAATGAAAACTTGTACAGCGCCGGTAACCTCCACCGAAAGTGGTGCTTATGCTTTCAGCATTAACAACCAAAGAAAACATCAATAAATAGTGATTATTTTCAAGTTATTCTTGGACTTGACTAAAAGAGCATTTAATAACTGTTGTTGGTAAACTGTTCCATACAGTTGCGGCTGCAATATAAAACGATCTCTTACCCCACTGATTTTTGGCCCTATGCTCTTGGAGCATGTTTTGGGACAATGATCGTAGGCGGCGCCTCTACGAGATGGTTCATAAGTAATGCATATTGAGCTCTGATTCTAAAATCCTCTCTGATTGGCTAAATTAATGAATGACACTCAAGAATGTTGTAATTCAAGGGTGTGAGATTGATCATTAGCCAATCGGAGGACTGCTGCTTCATGTTTACTGTATCTATGTTCATATTTCTATGTTCATATTATGTATCTATTTTATATTATTTGTATAATTTTAGTAGTCATTAGTCACATATCTAGATAGTCTGAGGGAGCAGACGACATTCAGAGGAAACAATAACAACTTCATACCCCAGGCTGGGGACAGAGGTGTATGGAGAGCCATGATCGCCAACATCATTGGACAAGGCACATGAGGAGGAGTCATTAGTTGGAGGTACACACCTATTTGGTGACAGTGGTTTAAGCTGCTTTAGTGCTCTTGTATTATATTTTGTATAAATTGTATCTTTGCCTGAATAATAATAATAAATAATAATAATAATAATAATAATAATGGTTAAATATAATCTGCAAAATATGTTTACTGTTTTTTCATTTTTAAAATAAAATGTTGCACTACACATACTTACATATTAAATTGTAGACTACTTAATGCACCATATACTCTCAAATGCATGTACCGATGCATATACCAAGATGATGAAAGTTCTGAAATGAAATAATTAACATTACATTACATTAACTGTACAGTTTACAAAGAACACATAGTTTAGTCCACAATAAACTAAAGAAATATAAATAAACCTAGCCTAGTCTACATTATCAAATTATTCATATTCATAAATAATTATCAAAATTAAAAACAATCAAGTCTTGGATTGGTGGGAATACTTGATATGAATGTATTATTGTATTAATAACTATTTGTATTTAAAAAAGTTGTCTAGGCCTAGCCCGCCTACTTTTTAAACTTTTAATTTTCATTTGTGCTTCCATAACATAAGTTCAATCAAACAATACTGTGATGCAAGCCTAGGCCTACATTCAATAATTAATACTACTAAATACAGTAGTAGGCCTAGCTTAATTGGTAAGAGATTGGTGTAACAATCGTCAGTGCCAATATTAAAATTGTAGGCCTATGCCTAGGCCTACGCTATGCATTTGCTACTACTACCGCAGAATCCAGTCAAGTGTGAGGGCACCGCGAGCTTACCTGAGTTTCCGAAGTCATGACCGGTGAAACTCTTTTTCGGGGTTCGATACGTCTTAGCCAAATTGCGGGTAGTACCTCGTATATTATTTATATAAGTACATTTTTGAATCCTGGAATACATATGTATCATCTTCAAAAACGTACGAACACCTATTAGGATAATATACTAATTCGATATACTTTGTTATTGTCTGATGATATTTTAATAATTTTAAGGTCCATCCGTCGCGTGTGTGTACAAAATTTTACAGATTAAAACGCCCTCAATCGGTCCAATCGACAAAAATAATACCCAGCAAGGGCCAAGGTGGTGTAAAGTTTAAAATATTCTTTCAAACCACATATTTATATTTGAAATTTGTTATTAGTTTTGTTCATATTATATAGAAATTATTGTATGAGTATAATTCTACAAAGATATGATAATAATAATTTAAATAAAATTATATTTTAGTATAAATGTTGATTACTCATAAGTCTATTTTTACAGTTTAGATTAGCCTTAAATTATATTTATCCGTGAAAAAGTATTATGCATTAAAGTGTTTATAAAGAATTTAGTAGACCCAGCTGTCGGCTGAATAGCATTCACTGAACGTATACGTTGTCACCTCAGAAATCCAATTTTCTCCATGCTGGCAGTGGCTCATAAGATAGAAATGGCGTTAATTCTTGGTCTTTTAGCTATTTTATCTTTAAGCTCATACGTGGATGCAAACCAGAAACGCGCAAGTGATTATTTGAAAAAAGAGCACAGCCTGATGCGCCCATATACAGGTAAGTATGAGTGGAAATCTTTCCTGCCGACTAGGCTAGCCTTAGTTAGCCAGCTTCCTCTCTAGTTAGGGCCTGGCCTTTAACAACAGCATCTGTCCCTGGGCGACGTCTTGTTCTGCAGCGGGCTAGGCCTAGCCCTGCCCTATTTTGATCTTGATCGTATAATTGTATTATTGAAAAACTACTACTGTAGTATCACTTAATGGTTGAGTAGAGGTGAGAGAGGAGGACCACTATAATATGATAATAATAATAATAATAATAATAATAATAATAATAATAATAATAATAATAAACTCATATTAATAATAAAATATTGTTATAAATACTTTTTGATAATAATTATAACTAATAATTATGATAATATTCTCTGTTTTGCTCTTTTGTGTAATTTTGTTTACCGTCTCCGTTTTGATATTTTAAACATTTAAGGCAATTTTTAAATTTCTTATGTATGTGCAATTCATCTGTTTTTAGTTGCAAATAAAGTATATTGTATTGTAAAGTATTATTATAGTTTATTGTTGTTGTTTCTAAAAGTTTCAGGTTGTATGGTCCATGAATGAATGTAATATGTAGGCCTACGTGCACATTTGTGTAAATAATAATACATTACTGTAGGCCTGGCTGGGGGAGGTGTAGGCTTAGGTGGGGTTAAATCGTCCTGGGCCCGATTGTCTATAGATAATTCCTGGGTTGATAGGCCTTTTCCACGAATTGGTAGACATCTTGAAGTGATGACAAACATTGCAAATCAGCGGTGCGTAACCAACAGAAATAAGATAAACTTTTGGGCTGATTTTCAGACATCATGTTATTTAAATAATCATAACTCTATAACGGGGCGTTGTCGAAATTTTTGCATAGAGGATATATTACCTGCATAGGCCTTACTGTACAGTCTGGTATGTCAGTGCATTCCATTTCAAGCTTTTGAAATTGTGTGACACAAGTATAACCATTGTGAAAAATTGCAAAAATTAAACTGTCAATTTATAAACTTACAGTAGTTTAGAATCTCAGAATGTGAAATACATTCAGCACTTCGTCCAGTGTGCTTTTAAAGCTTGTGTTTAATGCGTGTAGGTAATATAGCAAAATTTGAATAGAATACAACATCCATGCATTCCTTCTTCCTTTGCTCGATGATAATAATTTCAGTTTATTTAGTGTTTGTATCGCCAAAGACTTCAAAGCTCTTAGCATTTTACACTGTTAGTTAAATAAAATAGGGGTTCCAAGCTTGAAGATGTAGTCACTTCCTGGATGTCTGATTAAATGAGTTTTCTGAACACATCAAATTTTATTTTTGCTGCACGTAGTGATACCCATTGGCACTGACTTCCATGAGACAATTGATAATAAAGCAGTGAAAACATTCAAATATTATGAATTTGCGGGAGATTCTTGCTTGCTTGCAAAAGTGTGGAAGGCTGTCCCGATTTCTGGGAGACTCCCGTAAATTCCGGAAGACTTGGGACGCCTGATAAAAAGTCCTACAGAACACATGCTCAGCTCTTGGGGAAAGTTTTAAGTATTGTTGTCACTATGAATGAGCACATTGGTGTTAGGATGTGCCAGATACCCAAGGAATGGAGACAGACCATTGTCTGCCTAGTGCCAAGCCAAAGGACACACAAGCATAAGGCACAATGAGGGACGCGAACCCTAGACCTCAAGGTTTAGTGGCTGAATCGCAAGTACTGTGCCAATTGCTCCCCTTACTTTAAGACATGTTGCTATCCTGAATTTCTTTTTCTTTATTGTTTTTCATTTTTGATCAATATTTAAGTAAATTTTTTATAAAGAAGTTGATTTTCTTTATTTCTGTAGCATGAACACCCATATATTTCCGTACAAATTAATGATGGCAAATTAAGGTATGATCATGACAGAGATGGCACCCACAATTCAGCTGGTGGCTGCCCTAGCCCCTTCAGAAATAAACCAGATGCTTCATTTGTTATCATTCGATACCTCAAAAATCGGTTAACTGTAAGTTATTACAAGTTACAATTCCAGCCATTTAAAATTTTCTGGCAACCTTTTTTACTTTATTCTGTAGCATCCACATCCTTACATCTCTGCTCAGGTGAATAATGGTTCGGTACATTATGATCATGATACCGATGGTACTCATACTGAGGTGGCGGGCTGTTCTTGTTCAATTCGTAATAAAAACCATATTACACAGGTTGCCATCAGGTACTCAAGGCAAAGGCTGACCGTGAGTAGTCAACACTTTCTGCTTTTCTGTATCTTGATGTTTTAATACACATTATGTTATTCATGCATGCTCTTTTGTTATACTACATTATGTTATTTTTATTGTATAAAAGTGACATACTATTTAAATGTATGTTTAATAATTTTATATGTTTAATTCTGAGCCTTGCAACATTTACCCTGTTTAAACTCAATTTTTCATTTTTATCTTTTTTTGGTGAATGCGCTATGTACTATATTAATCCTTTGGCCTTTCTTAAACAATTTTGGTATTATAACTCAGCCTTCTACATAAATATTCCATATTATTATCATTTTTACAATTTTTTTAATAACATTTTTTATAATTTTTGTTGGATGTTTCATATAAATATGTCTTTTGCTGTAATTATTTATATGGTAGATTTTTTTAAAGTTATGTATTTACTGTATTCCAACATTGTTTTGTGAGGGTGGTTAATTCTGCTGAAAGCTCAATAAATGGCATATTTAATATGATTTAAAAATAGTAAATTATTTAATTGTATAAAAAGAATAAATAAACATCAATTAAATGTTAATTTAAATATTTGATAAATAATCTTTTATTAAATGATAGTTAATAAGAGATTAAAATTATATTTAGAATACATCTTTGCAATGTTTAGATTATGACAGATATTGATGGAAAAAGTGAATGGAAACCTTGTGTCGACGTGCCAGGAATACATCTTCCTACGGGCTACTATTTCGGAGCCTCTGCTGCCACTGGAGAACTTGCAGGTATGTTGATTGTTGAGTTGATACTTAATTACTTTTTATCAACTCTGTCAGATTATGCTTCTCGGTACCTCTAGTTTTTCCTTGCTAATAATATCAGATGTGCTTTTTTTTTCATTAAGAATACTGTATGTATGATATAGCTGAAATCACCTAACAGTACAAGATTCCATGTGGGTCTTATTTTGTAAGCACTAATAAACATAAGGCAACTTGAAGGTAGTTTTATAAACAAGTGAGCAGTTGCTGGTTGTAACAAGAGGAATTTCCAATTCTCATCAGACCATAAATTAAATGAAAAAAAAATAGTCTTGTTTATATAATGTTTCATTGACTTACATTTGCTGGTATTGTACTACTGTATGTTTACAATGTACAGTAGGTCTGGGTGCAAAAATTAAGTGTTTTGGTCTGTCCATGTGTCTCGGGAACGTGAAACATAATTTCTGCCAATTTGTTTCCAATTGTGGTACACTCCATGGTCCAGAAATTATCATGCTACACCATAATAAATCATAATCATAATTTTTTTCCTATAGCTGATAAGTTTTAGCAGGCAAAGCAGATAAAGCTTGTGGAATAAACATAATATGCTCATTAGATTAAAGTGCTATTCCTGTAATTCTTAATTTTAAGTATAGTCAGCTATTTTTTCAAATGTTTTTAAAATGATTTTAAGGCTTTCTTGGATACATTACAGTTCGGGAAAAATGGGGGTATTGGGGTGCAAGCTCCTATGGAAAGATTGCACTCACTCCCTTGGAGATGAGAGAGTACATTACATTCAACCATGGAGGTATTATTGAGAAGGAGATCACTCGGCAACAGATCCCTTTGACGCGACAAACCTATGTGTTCCCCGCTTTTGCATCGCGCGCGGGCGTATTACCCTATAATTCACATTTTGCGTTAGCAACAACTTGGCAACGACATGCATTTATACGCTTCCAGCAGAGCAGTTGTGCAATAAAACGTTTGATTTTAACCCATTAAATATCTTTATAATGAACAATGTTCCCCTGATTAGATTTTTTCAGGCTTTCGGTATGTTATTATTTGTATATTTTAGGAACGGATTCCGTAAAATATTTATGTTAAAATTACTTCTGTGTTCATTATAATTTTGTCTAAAGATTGTCTAGTTCGACTATAAAGCTAAGTCAGCGTAAAACTGAAAATACTCAGATTTTGGATTCATTTTTCGAATAGTTAACCCTGGTTAACCCTAA